TGCTGAAAACGATAATTATGGGCATGTATGGTACTATCACTATTATGGTAGTATGCAAAAATTTGTAAAAAGCTGAAAGTCTTGTTTTGGCAGGAAGGTGTGGGGGGAAAAAGATATGCCCCTGAATATGGAGTACCTGTAATCTAATCTAACCACGGGTTCCATGTCGCATGTGATGTGCCCTTTCTACCCCTATCCCTATCAACTAACCCTTTTACCTTTCATTAACTAACATATTCCTTTACTCATCAAAATACGTTTATGACCCTAAAAAACAGTTATAGTGGACCCAAAAGTCATTGTACTAAGAAATTAATACAAATGGAAGTCTGTGACATATATTTAAAATATAATAATAATAATACAAAAGTACATATATAACCGTGAAGATGAAGTATGTTTAAATGGCATGATTCACGTTGGTAGAAGGATTTGTTTGGCGTAATTGTAGGAATTAATTTGAAAATGATTTGGAATTTGTCTTGTATAAGCAAACTGCAAGTCACGGGTCAACAATTTACAATTTACAATTTACAATTTACAATCCTATGCACCTATCCATTTCATTCATTATACAATCTCACTTGCTATGGGCAAATAAACACAAAGACACAAACATCTCCACCCAAAAAACATCCATATCTAGTTATCCAAAACCACATTATAATATTTAAAATTAACTCGTGGATCGTGGCCTGTTTTTGGGTTTCGTATTTCTTTTTCACAAAAAGCAAACTTGACCTAATGGAAAGAGAACCCTTGTTACAGAGGACAAAACGAATAACGATGATATTTTCCATTGATATCAGTCTCAACTACAGTATATCAGACACAGTACAATATATTCTGTCATGTCTTATCTGAAATTTCGTCTTTGCTTAGTTACTTCTTGTTTTGAGTTTTCTAGTGAAGAGATGCGTCCATCCAAAGCCTTGTATTCTTCATTAATATACACATGACAAATACCATGTTACAACTTCAAAACTTACTAGGGTTCATTTAGAATGAGGAATAAATCAACTAAAAGTTATCATTCTTATTAAAGATTATGTTGTGATTAAATATAATCGCATGCGTATTAGTATTTATATTACACATTTTATATTTTAGTATTGAAATTGTGATTTACACTTAATTTTTCGTTCAAATGGTTCATTCGGTACAAAAATGATAAACTTTTAGATGGGATGAAATCCATTGAACAAAAACAACAATATCTAAGGATTCGGAATGTATTTATGCAAAAAGACAAAAATGCCCTTCTTCAATTTTCCTATTGACCGGAAGCATTGACAAAGCCAAAAATAGAAGATACGACTCCCCTTCCTCTTGTCTCCTGCTATGATATCATTTAGGTGCTAATGGAATGATGTACACCAACATCGATCTCCTATTAATGCTCTCAATTAGACTGATCTATCTACAAGAATGACCAAAATACCCCTCAAACTCTCCTTTACTATAGCTACTGTACTTCTATTTAATTCCTACATTTAAAGTTGACTATGAAGTGTAACATGGAATCCCAAATCCCCAATTAAACTACTTGTTGAATCCCATATTGGTGTTGGCTTCAAGAGAAATGATTTAGTTGTGTGCCCAAAATGCCCTTGAAACAAACAGAAACAAATTGTGATTTATCCTTAATCTCTCATTCAAATGGTTCTTTCCATCCAAAAATGGTACATCGTCAGATATAACTATTAGATGGGATGGAAATCTACTAAGAAAAATAATAAAATACCTAAGAGCATCTCCAATCCACCCCTATTCTCCATTTTTTTCACCATTTCTTCCTCCATTCTTCTCCAACCCACCCCCATTTATTTCCTAATTTTGGGGGACATGAATAGTATTACACCAAATATGGTGTTATACTATTCATTTCTCCCAAAATGGAGATGAACTTTGCATTGTCGGTTTTAGTCCTTCTGATTATATATTTATATATTTTGAATTCATTTTTATCTACTAATTATAATTTAAATATAATATTTAATACTAATAATATTTTGTTATATATTAAATTATATTAATTAATTATAAATATAATGTTTGTTTTTTTCATCAAATTCATATGAAAATTTAAATACATATTGAAATTTTAAAAAACGATAACGGATTTTATAAAAACTTATAATTAAAAGTGTATTTCTAATATTTATATAAATAGATGTATAATATTTATTTAAAAGTATGCATTTGTAATATTTTTTTATAAATGCATGTATAATATTTATTTATATGTTTATTATAAATATAATCTTTTGTATTTAATATTAATGTAACGAAAAAAAATATAGATTATATATTTGTTAAAACTAAATTAGTAGAGATATGTGTTTGACAATCTATATAAGTTGGAATAATGGAATATATACTAGGAATATACTTTTTAAGAGTAACAATGGGGTAAAAAATGGAATAGAGTTGGAGATGAAACACTATTTGCCCCATTTTTTACTCCATTTTTGGGGGGAAAATAGAGATGGGTTGGAGATGGTCTAAGTCCATAGAAATGGAGATGGAAATCCACTTACATCTGATCTATTTGAAATTAACATGATCCTATTCTTATATTTTATAACAAGATTGAAGATCCTATGACCCCAATCCCATAATGCAAGCTGTAAAACTATTTCGTTTTGGACACTTTACACCATAAAATTGAAATGTTAAAAGAAGTGAAATCTAGGTAGATAAGAATATGATTGTTGGGGATAGACCAAGGGATAGCTATGCCGACATTATTGTAAGTGAAAGTTCAAGTGAAATGCATCACATAAGAAGTATAGTTCACATCAAGGAAAAATAAGTGTTCCCAAATTGACATTTTTGGTTATCTTTCTTAATTATCAGAAATCGAGGGTTATAACTTTGACCATTATTCATTGCAATTATGCAACAACGCCACCTAAGATCATATACTGAAATTTCAATGTTATAAGAGGAGTTTAGGACAAAATAACAACTTATAGGGAGGCAAATAAATCGATCAGATAGGAATCGAGATGATTAAAAAAATGGAATGGAGATGAAGATCGAATAAAGTACTTATTGAGACATAGACTAATAGGCGGGAATGTAATCATGGTGAATAAGATACAATCCAAATGCCGACGCCACCGCAGCACCGGCAGAGAACGAAGCAAGCTTCAACCGGATCGCGTACCCCAGAAACCGATTGACAGGTTTAGAGAATTAAAAAAAAATTATACTAAGAGATACCTGAGAGAATTTAAAAAATAAAAATATATACACTAAGAGATTGATTTTACAATTTATAATCATATTAATTTTGTGTTCCTTTATCAACAATATTTTTTTTTCTATTGGACCAACATCAATTTTTTTTTTTCAATCGGTCATACTCATTTCTTCCATTATAGGGTGTGTTTGGCACGGTGCTTTTGAAAGCGTTTGGGAGCTCCTAGCTTTTAGCTATTGATAAAACGCTATAGTTTAAACAAAAAGCTTCATTTGGCAGTACGAGCGTTTAGCTTTTAGTTTTAACAAAACGCTCTGATTCTAAAAGCTACTTCATGTAGCTTTTAACAAAACGCTCCGGAGCTTTTGAAATCAATTTCCATAATTACCCTTAAAAATATATTTATATATATTTTTATTCTTAATAAATTTTCCTTTTATGTAATTTTATGTATTTCAAAAGCTTCCAGCTACTTTTACCAAACATTCATATAACAAATAAAAGCTACAGCTTCCCGCTACCAGCTACCAGCTATCCGCTACCAGCTAACAGCTACTTTTGCCAAACACGCCCATTATCTAGATGCTTCCCACCGCTCCACCGCCTTTACCCCTTATCTCTATCACACTATCTCTTCCTATTTTATTTTTGCTTTCAATAGATTCACCTACATCGACATTTACCTCCAACTGCATCGGCCACACCATCTCGCATAGACAACCATTCCATTGTATTATGCTGCCATCGGTGATGCCCTCTGATGCCATCGACATTTACCTCCAACTCGATAAGAGTTCCAATCAATTTTGCCTCTTCCTCGAATAGAAAAACCAACTCGATAACATATGTCACTATTGAGGCTGATGGGAGGGAGTTATCGTCGTCGTCATACCCGATTGAAGCATTGTTTCATACTCTCCTATCTCCCACAACCTACCCTTCGAGGCAACCATCTTCGTCGCCGCTATTAATTCCAAGCCATCAAAATCTCTCGATCTCTCCATTATCTCCGACAAAAGAGATTAACTAGGTATCCCTATCTGCTCTATTGATTTTATTCAAAAATATTGGGCCTATCATTGTTTTTCACTTCCATCACTTATCTATAAGCGATAATCGTATTGGATTTATATGAAGTTTGATTCTGATTCTTTCATGTACTTAGATTTAGGAAGGATTGAATGGTAGAGAAACATAAGCTTTGGCATGAAGAAGAAAACAATGAAGGTTTTGGTAGGGTTTGTAAATAATTTCAATATTTTTTGAATTACACACACCTATGGTTATTACATGTTCTGAAAACAAAAGGGAAGTATGTGCAGTTCAGAATATAGCAACAAGCAGAATGATAGATCATTTGTGTTTCACAAGGCCTTTGGTCCAAAATCCCAACAAAGGGATTTATATCATTCACCCATGATCTCCCATAGTTTTTGAAGTTCTTGAGGGATACAACTGCACTATATTTGCTTATGGCCATCCGATCCTTCCCTCTCTCTATTTTCTTGAGCATATATAATTAGATATATTCCAGTTTAAATTGAGTGTTAAAACTAAGAGTGACAAAAGGCTTGATTCATATTAGAGTTTAGACTTAAGGAAATCAGATTGCTTATGGATTTTGAAAGCTTGATATAAAGTATAAACAAACCTTGTCCATTTGCTTTGTTCCACAGGACTCCAACCTCTTGGTTTTGGTAAGCTACAAGGTCCAGCAATTGCCTGATTTGAGACAAAATTTATATCCATTAGTTTAACTGAGATGATAAATCAGTAAAGTATGAAAACAATGTGATCAGTAATTGCCCCTTCACTTATTTATTGAACATAAGTATAACTATTTTTATAGACTCATGGCAATCATGTTTTTATCTTTTCACAACCGTGTCTCAGATGGAATGCAGACTATAGATGCTCTTCTTACTTGTAAGGTTAACAGAAAAAGACAAGCAAATACATTTACAAAGAAATCTAGACCTATATCTGAACAAGGTAACAAATTTTTTAAGTTCACTCCAAGGACATTTCGGTCATTTTGCCCTTGTAAAAATGCTATGCTAATACAACTATTTGCTATACTTAATTTTTTATGGATGATATAAGACATGTTTATATATATTTGCATAATACTCAAAAGATTTTGGTGGATATTAATTAGCATGTGATGATGTGAAATTGAAATGAGAATAATTGTTAATTAATATTTATTCAGGAACATGGCCTATTTGTGATGATGATTTCGCATTTTATGAGCTCATGAAAAACATCCCATTTCCAGTTTCCTATTATACCCTTACCACAAAGGAATTAGAAGATAATGGATACATCCATGATCAATCAGGTTACTAGATTCCTCCTCTTGTATTTCTTTGTTTACATTGCTTTTAATTTATCAATCGATAGTTTTTGCTTAAAACAAATGTTTCAGATCTTAACTTTTGACTGTTTTATTTCAGATCTCTCAACTCTTCCTGCAACATCTGGAAAACCCACCCATGAAAGAGTGGGACTTATGGAAAAAGAAGTGTTCTCTCACTTTGGACAAAGTTTCTTGCCCCATTTTAGTTATGCAGAAAAAAAAAGATACTGTTTTTTAACAATCATCTATCTAGTTTTGGGACTCATGGATTTTTGGAACTTTTGAAGTACTAATAACATGTATTTTTATTGATTTACCGGAAACCAAATACAGTTGGGTATTCTTTTTGACATGTTTATCAAGTTTGTGGTGGATTCCTCCAACACAACTACCACCAAGGTAAGGTTTCCTTAATCATAATTTATATTATACTTTCTAAACAACTACTACCAATTGAATTTTAATATGACTATAAATAGAAAAAGTAAAATACAAATATTATTTATTAAAAGTGTTGAAGACAAAGGATTACATCCATGATTTTTAGTAATTTTTACTTTTTTTCATTTAATATTGTAAAATATGAATTTCTATGAATAATGGTATTAAAGGAGTAACGGATTTTCGGTAAGCCTTCAGAAAAAAAACGAACTAGGGCAAAGCCCGAATTCTTCACTAGTTACATTTAATAAACCGATTGTTTTCAAAATTATAAAATAAAAAAACCAAAAAAAAAATGAATTTGTGGATCCAAACAAAATCAATATCAGGGCAGTTTGTTTGGCTTTTTAATAGTTTGTTTGGCCTTTTAATAATCTTATAAAGAGATTGGCGAAGGTGTTTAGTTTAAACTTTTTTAGCTTCTTAATTGCTTAGATCCATTAAGTGCTGAATCTCTTAAGGTCTTTCATCCAACACTTAGATCTAGTCCCACACATCATTCTAAGTCATAAAGTTTCCACCTTTATGACTTTCCATGTCTAGAAAATGTCCAAAAGCTAAAACCTTAACTTATTAATCCATTAAGACATCATGAAACTTTCATGGAATGAATAGAAGGGTCAAGATCACATTTTTATGGATCCTAATAGCTCCATCATGGATAAAGTTTCCAAGTTTATCCATTAGAATCGTTTAAACCACCAAGATCTTGAATTTAAGTGTCAAATGGACCAAAAAGTGCATCTTTTTCAACTCAATCCATTAAGTCCAAGTCTCCAACCTTCATATTTGAATCACAATGATGTTTAGATGGATGAAGTTTCCAACTTTATCCATAAAAAGGTAACAAACTTTCAAGATCTAAACTTTATGCACTAAAATGACCAAAAGCTCATAACATCCAAAACTAGCTAGATCTAACAAATGCATCACCAAGATTTAAACTTTATAACTCTAGAAAAGAGATCAAGGTGAACAAAGTTCGGATCTACAAGCTCCAATGCAAGTAACACTTCTCCAAAGAGTTCATTCTTCTCCAAGGTGCACTATGCACACTCCAAAGCACTCAAAACACCTTCTTTAGATCACAAGGCTCAAACTAGGGTTAGGGGTTCATGGAAGGGTGTTGGAGAGGTGGAGGCTGAGAATGGAATGGTTTTGGCGGAGCTAAGAAGCTTAAATACGGCTCAAACCACGAAAATAGGTTTTGGGAACTGATTGCGTACGCCCAACGTACTCCTTCTTGTATACCCAACGTACTCAGCTTAACCTAAAACTATCAAAACTTCAAACAGTCATAACTTCTTCGTTTCAACTCTGATTTCGACTTTCTTTATATCCACATAAAGGTATTGAGGAGCTCTACAATCCTATATGATTACTTTTGAATTAAAAAACATCTACCTCAAATCCATAATTCATAAAAGAAGTCTAAAACACTACTTTCCCATTTTACCCTTTGACTCCAAAGCACAAACCAAACTCCTGGATCACACAATGTACGTTACCCACATACAAATGGGTCTAAACGTCTTGTTACCAAAGTACGCATCCTTATGATACTTGATCTATGGGTCACGACCCCGATTTATGGAACGACATGAAAAAAGGTGTTACTACTCTCCCCCACTTAAATAAGATGTTTTCCTAGAAATCATTCCTTAGTATCTCTTATGCCTAACCAAACGATCTTGAATTAACTCCCTAAATCATGAAGCTGATTGGGAAAGTCACCTCACTCCGATGATCATCTACCCTTACTTCTGTCGAACCTACAATAGTGGAAATCACAAGCCCTAACGAAGAATGAACCTTACCATGCTCTAAGCCCACGAATGTCCAATCGCTACACCTGAAACTGAAAACCCTACTCGATGTCTGACTCCCATGAAGGCAAAACAACTCCAAAACATTTCCACAATGACTCAACTTCATATCCCAAACCGCACAAACCTATGCGTCCTAAAAAAAATTATGGATACCCGAAACATATACGCCCCGACCACTTACCGGTACCGAAAAAATCCTCATCGAAAACAAAGTCAGCTCCAGACTCAAAACTAAACATGTACAGGTGGTCCTAGTCTATTCGCCAACATGACTCTATCAATCATTCACTCCCAATGAAGGACAACTCAACCAACCCATGCTTGAACGATCACCAAGTTCACTTAACCCCAGTAATGGCTACAAACCAAACCGAGTACTCACATCACATTTGGCCCCAACCCAACCTATGATTTACCAAGCATTACAAATGTTGAGGCCTACTAACAACCCTTCATTCAACCCCATGATGATCTAAATCTTCCTAGAGAATACCATGATCCAAGTCATAGGCTTCCATCCCTGTTACCACCGCCTACCAACCTTGTGAATGCTACAATTGCTTAGGCTGCTCCATAGTCTTACATCACCCCTGTAACTACACACTAACTTGGTGAATGATACAGATGCTCTGCAGTATTACATCACCCTCGCAACTGTACACTAACTTAGGGAATGCTACGGCTTCTCAGCAGTCTTACATCACCCTCACAATTGCACACTAACTTAAGGGAATGCTATGGTTGCTCTACTGTCTTACATCACCCTCGCAACTGCACACTAATCGAAAACTCTACTAGTCAAAACCCCATTCCACCCGACTCTATCAAGTGTTTGAATCATGCTTCAGATGCAAAGCCTTTATCAGACAAGAACGGGCAGAGAGGTCCTAACATAACCATTGACCTGAACTTAGCCTTGAATCCATATCATTTGTTTTGATGCTCATCACCGCCCAAAGAACATTATTCTTTGCTTAACCCCTAAACCTCTTGCAACCAGAACTGGCTCTCTAGTTGACTTAGGAAGATACCATGTTGACTTGCCTTCCCAGTTAATCCTTAATCATACAATATCTTATCTGTAACACCCGATTAGTCGTTCAAGGCCCCGCCAGCCAAATGGTAGTTTGATCTACACTTATAATCCGGACCACAAATCCCTATAACCTATTCTTCTGAAACCACGAACTCAAACAAATTGATGATCTTTCAAATAGCATGACCAGTTCTCCCCCACTTGGGTTCGAACTATCATCAACTAACATTACAGACAAACCCCACTCAAACCAACTCAGCCAGATACATACCACCCCTGACTCTTGGAATGTATAACACAACGTAAGATAATCTCCAATATAAAGACCCAACAATTTAAAGACATTCTTAATCTCAGATGGATACCTTGGAAACTTCCCAGAGCTAACTACCTCTATCATCAAGAATCCCATGCAAATGCACAAGCAATAACTCAGATAGACCGTGCCTAGAATCAATTCTATATCTAAGAACAATTAGACTACCACAAACTTCACCTCTGATTCCTTGACCTTCACTCAATCGCAAGATGCAATCATGTAACATGAGGCAGCATCCTCACAGTTGAGAGGAAACAAAATTTGTCGTTCCCAATTCATTTTTCTTGATTATCTGGAACAACCTGCTAGAACACGCTCTAACTGAACTTAAAGAAAGCATACCCCTGTTCCTCATCTTGTACACTTTCCACGAAAATGACTCTCTTTCCACACATGAAATATTAGAAGAATAGAATCCTTGATAAATGACATCATAAGCCATCAGTCGATCACTCAATCTCAAGACTACAATCCTCAAGTTGCTTATCCCAACTGCTCCCTCATTGAGTTCCATGACTCAGACTGACACTACCACATGTAGGGCCCCCAAGATCTTGAAATCAACAACTCATATAGGTTTACACCATTTAACCCCAACTGACAAGGCCACTAAGACCCAAACAATCACCCGAACCATCTTCTTCCCAGATAACCATAACCGAAAAGCTGATAATACCCAAAATGATGCAACAGATTCATGGTGCCAAACCATGTTCGTATCCTCAAACAACTCTGTACAATTTTCAGGACTTTCCTTGATTCGAGTACAGATCATGTGCTTCCAGTAGTACAGGCCCAATACTACCTTCCACACCTATCCATACTTTCCTCAAAATCATCCTGAATCCTCTAAGTCATGTTGAGAGAAGAACTTAATAACAAAATAATATATTGCAGAATAGTAAGTTAATCTCAATGGATCTTTGTTAGCTCAACAATAAAAGTTAGATTGTGGAAAAGTAAAGAATGTAAATAGCATCAATTTATATCAACAAGCAGAAACAAGTAGACACTTAGTTGAATTGTAACATGGTTTGCACTCAAATCATGTTAGTAAATGATAAATAACATAAGTGAAAAAGGGACTTGAATTAAGTATCAATTAGATAAATTTAGATAGAATAGAGATGAAGATATCTTATATTGATAAGATCTGAATTGGTACATAAACATGAAATGGAACACTCTATTTATAGAGGTCCAAAAGTTACAAGGAAATAATAAACAATTACAAAGCTACTAACTTTGGTGACTCTGAAAGGTACACCAGATAATATTAAGTTTACACACATAATCAATAAAGATAACTTATCACATTCTTCATGTTCAAAGACGTCTTTGGGTTCCAAATGATGATAAAAAATATTCGGTATCCTGCTCTCCTGTTCACAAAAGCTTTTGGGTCTTCGGTTCCTTCTTAGCTGTCGCGGGTCACTTTCTTGTATCAATAATTTCCCCCAAAGTGACCTCGCAGCTAAATTCTTCATTGATTAAGTTTAAGAAATTCACCAAAATTTCATAACTTCAAAGAGCCATTTGATTCTTCTGGAAATTTCAAACTCCACCTATTCAGTGGTGTGTTTGGATCTTTGAACCGTAGTCATGGTGATCTCCAGTTGTTTCTTAGATAGACGATGAATGGCCGTGACTGGGATGAAGA